CCAAGTCTCCTAAGTGAAGAAGCTCTGTAAGAGGTGAAAATGACTCGTCGGGCAGCCGGGGTCTGCCAGCTAGCCGTCCCTCACCCAACACTGCAGAAACCCAAGGAACTGACCTGGCTGCAACACCGAGCAAAGTTACTGGGCTAAGCGCTGCTCCCCACCATCCTCTCCAACACCCGCTTCCCGGGCAGACTGCGGGGACCCCCTAACGGCATGCATCATTCCTGGGCACTGCACACAGTCTCTGCCAAGGTTGGAGCGGGCAGCAGGCGCGGGGGGCTGGCCCTCGGCCAGGCCCGACAGGAGGGCGGTGGCGGCGGCGGCATCCTCCGGCCCCTTGAGGACCCGGCTCCGGCCAACCTTGGCGTCAGCGCCAAGGGTGGGGAGGGAGACGGGCACCCCGGCCATCTGTCGCTGAGAGGCTTGGCCCGACGGCACCTCCGAAGCGAGGAGGGTCCTTCCTGCACCGCCACTCTCTGGCCAGGTCCTCGCGGCGCGGCCAGGCCTGGGCAGCCCGAGCCCGCGTGGCCCGTGGCGGCGGCACGCCCAGGTGGCTCCCTCCGCTTCGGCGCGGGGCTCCGTGGACTCCACGGCACTAAGAGGAAGGGCCTGCGCCCGGCTTGTTGAGGGGCCCGAGAGGGACAGGAGGTCACCGTTCTCTCTACTTCCCGTTCCCCGCATCCGGTGGGGGGGCCGGATGGGGGCGAGGGGTGGCCCGATAAAGCCTGAGGAAGCTCAGTAACTGGCCCCGGGAGGGGGTGGGGGGCGCCAGCATGGAGAAAGTGCGATTTCACAGAGGAAAGAAGCAAGGACGGCGGAAGCCTGTGCAAACCCCCAGAAACTGGAAGGTGGGAGGGCTGGGGGTTAGTCGCACGTGGCTGCTGGCCGGGGTCTCAGGCGAAGTCTCACCTAAAGGCTAACCCCCCGAAAAACTTCCAAGGAGGTGCAGGGAGGGTGCGTGAACACCAAGCCGGCCTCTGTGGAGGCGGTTCCGGGTTGAGGGAGGGAGGCAGGAAGCTCCTGGGCCAGGTCGGGGCCCTACCGGGGAAGCAGCCGCCGGCCACTCACCTCTCCGCGAAAGTCCGTGCGGGGCGCTCCCTCCACAGGCCGGGACCCAACGCCCACTCTCCGGAGCGCGCCAGCCTCCCGCAGCCGCTAGGGATCCGGCTTTTGTCCTGGCCCCGGAGGGCTTCTCCCCGCCCCTATCAGCACACGTCGTGAGCCGCCCGGCGATTGGTTACATGCGTTCCCTAGCCTGAGCGCCAGGGCTCCTCCCAATTCGCTGCCCTGTAGAGCTCCGCCCAGCGGGCGGGTCCCAGGGGCTGCTGGGAGTTGTAGTCCCGCCAGCGTATCCTTCCCATACAACCCGCGGGCGCCGCCTCTCCGGAGCCTGCTGGGCCGGGGAGGGATCAGGGGCGGAGTCTCGGGTGGGGAGATGGGCCGAGCTACGCCGGGAGGAGAACGTACCGGGCTGGGGGCCGTGGCCTGATCGCCTAGGGGCTGGGCCGGCCGCCACTCCGATAGGGGTGTCGAGTGGGGGGAGAAGGGGAGGGAAAGGGTGTCGCTTGTTGGCCGAACTGGCTGTAGCGCTGCTTTGAGGACCTGGAGTCTCCTTCCTGTCTCCCCATGGGAAAAACTGACGTCGGCATCCCAGCTGCCTGAAATGGGCCACACCGAACCCAGTTGTTTAACCCCGCTTTTTAAAAAACCGTGGCAAACTGCTTTCCCACATGCACTCGGACCCTCTGAGGTTGAGCCCTTGGGGGCGAGGCTGAGAGCCGAGGCTAACTTACCAGACTTCCCAGTATGGGATTAGGCGGTTTCATGGAGTGAGGCAGGTAGGAGGGTGCCATGCACCGCACTCACCTGCTCAGCTCACCGCGGTTTCATGGAAGTTTCTAGTGCAGAGCTGGGGCCATCTCTGCCACTCTCCTGCTCCTCCTCCCACCCCACCCCACCCCCCAGTCCACGCAGAGACACTGGAATGAATGAACTACTCCCTCGCTATTCTCCATTACCTGTGAAACAGACTATAGTTTCCGAACCAAAAACCTGGGACACCCGATCTGATAGGTACTGGTGAGATGGTGGGGGAGAATATTTGAAATCAGACAGTCTTAGAACCCAGGACGTAATATTTACTGCTCCGACATTCTGGAGCAGTAAATATTACCCCAGTCTTGTAGGTCTTTCCAGCTGCACCCTGACCCTAACAGCTGTTTAACTTCAGGGTGGAGAATCATGGGCTGAGCAGCTGAGGTTAAGGGGTCAGGCCAATGCACAGAGAGTCAGCATGCCTGTGCCCCTGCCAAGCACCTGGGTAACACTCACACAGTAGCAATGTTGTGACATTCTTATGACAAAAACTGTGCTATGCCCTCCTCCCCCTAATCCAGTTGTAGCCAGGAGTGGGGCAGCTAAACTTGCTGCCCATGCCTGATATAAGTGACCCCTGATGACATCACTTCCTGGTCCCTTCCTTTTGAAAGAACTCCTCACCTCCTCTCTTTCTTGGCCCTACAGTCTCTCTCACCCCTACATGGGTTGAGTGAGCTCCACCCCTACCAAGAATCTTCCCAAACAGCACAAATCTCAGAGAAGGATCACCTCTCTGTAGGTAAAGAAAACATCTATGAACGTGAGCTAGTGGAAAGATTGCAGTCAGGAAGGGTCGCCTGTGCAGGAGTTATCCTTCTGGTTAGAAAGATAGACTGGCTCAGAAACAGGCATCCAGGTGGAAAATAAGCTATAATAAACTCTTTGTACACCAACTTGGCAATATTGATAAAATGTTAAATGTGCATGCCCTTTGCCCCAACTCTTTCATTTCTAACAATTTACTCCTTCAGGTATACTTGCATATGTCCATGAAGATAGAGATTTTTGTTTTCTTCACTGCTGTGTCTTTAGCACTTTGAATAGGGCCTGGTACCTAGTTAATGCTCAATAAATGTTGGCTGAGTGATTAAGTCCCCCCTCTAGGTGTTGCTGGGACCAAATTTGACTAGTCCTGGACAGGGGTAAGGAGAAAGTAACTGTCCAGAGAGTGAGGGGGGAGCAGTGTTGGCCAGAGTCCATGAATCAATCACTGAAGTTTTTCAGTTTTCTCAGTGGGCCCATTCAAGGCTTCTGCCCCTCACCCCCAACCCCTAACCTCCCCAGAAAAGACTCTCTCATTACCCCACCATATCCCCACAGAGACTCCTGTACCCCAAATTAATCAATATGGCCTCATCTTCTCAAAGGCTCTAAATTCGCCCGGCCAGTGTAGCTCAGTGGTTGAGTGTTGACCCATGTACCAAGAGGTTGCTGGTTCCCGTCAAAGGACGTGCCCGAGTTGTGGGCTCAATCCCCAGTAGGGGGCATGTAGGAGGCAGCCGATCAAAGTTTCTCTCTCATCGATGTTTCTCTCCCTTCCTCTCTCTCTCAAAAAAAAAATCAATAAAAATATTTTTTAAAAAATTTTAACCACCTCTAAACTCTTTTGCTTTTTCTATCTGAATCTTCCAAAACGGGCTGGAGGACAGTTTCATGTCATTGGACACAGAATACAGGTACAACCTCTGTGCCCAAGCTGTGGGCATTCTATCTCAGTTTCAGAAGCCTTCGCCTGCCTAATGCTTCCCTCTTAGGTTTTAATCCAGTTTAGCTGATATTCATGGAGCACCTACTATGTGAAAGGCATGGATGCTAGCACATAATCCCCACAACAACATCATTTTGCCGCCAGGTCCCTTGCCCAGTCCACTACAACTGCTGCAGGTGAGGAGGGAGAGAAAATCATATCCAACGGGTCTCTCCCCTGGCCTGGGAACTCCTTAAGAGCCAGGAATGCATGCCTTGTTCCTTTTGGCATCCCCAGTGCCTATCATGGGATTTGGCACATGTTAGGCACTCACTGTATGAGTGACTGAATAAACACTGAAATGAACATGCAAATGAAAGAAAGAATATATAGGGGAAGAGAAGGGGGGAGCAGGGCCTACCTGAGTGTACAGTTCTAAACCCACCTCTCTCTCTCCCTGTGACAACTAGAGAGAGGGGCTTACATCAGAGACTCATCAGGATCCACCCTGTGAAAAGCCACCGGGTTCCCACTCACTTTTGGCCCAACACTGACTGACCCACCTGCCTTTGGAGCCAAGGGCCCAGGTGACCTGGGGCCGCTCCCCAGGAGGTTCAGCCAGAGCCAGCATCTGTGAGCAGGAAATGTGTTCCAGCCAGCTCCCGGCCAGCCTCTTCCCACAGTCATCCCAACGCTGCGCTCACCCTGCCTTAAAAATGGCTGCTGCCTCCTCCCCACCAGGTGTATTCCTGGGACATTCCCCCTCTTTTAGGAAGTCTTGTCCTAGGAAGGCCACTTACCACTTCCCGTTGTGAGACCAAACTTGCACAACTCCTCTCACAACAGGATCATTTACCCTGAACTGTACTAGGCAGGTTTAACCTCATCTCTGAGTGAGTGAGTTATTTTTGCCTCCTGTCTCTGTTAGCCATGTCCCATGTTGGGGAAGTCTCTCACGGTCAGGCGGAAGCAGAGGGCATGGTGTACAGAACAGCACTGCCAGCCTCCATCGGGACCAACGTCTCTACCCCAACACCAACCGTAAGGTTTTGGGACTGTGCCTCACCTCCGATGTTTGGAGGCCTCCTCCCAAGCATGGGTTGCGCTCACCTCTCTCCCTTATAATTTAGGTGCTGCCTCAAGAATGCACAGCCCCGCCTGTGGACTGAAGGGTCCCAGGTTCGATTCCGGTCAAGAGCATGTACCTGGGTTGTGGGCACATCCCCGGTGGGGGCTGTGCAGGAGGCAGCTGATCGATGTTTCTGTCTCATTGATGTTTCTGGCTCTCTGTCCCTCTTCCTTCCTCTCTGTAAAGAATCAATGAAATATATTTAAAAAAGAAAAAAAAGAATGCACAGCCCCAAGTGCTGCTTATTCAGCCCCATGATCGCAGATTTATAGAATGTCAGACCCAAAAGAAACTGCAGAGGATCTAAGATGGCCACTGTGGAACCGGAAACCACCCCTACTCCTAATCCCCCGCCTACAGAAGAGAAAACAGAATCTAACCAGGAGGTTGCTAACCCAGAACACTATAGTAAACATCCTTTACAGAACAGATGGGCACTCTGGTTTTTTGAAAATGATAAAAGCAAAACTTGGCAAGCAAACCTTCGGCTGATCTCTGAGCTTGATACTGTTGAAGACCTGTGGGCTCTGTACAACCATATCCAGTTATCTAGTAACTTAATGCCTGGCTGTGGCTACTCACTCTTTAAGGATGGCATTAAACCTATGTGGGAAGATGAGAAAAACAAACGAGGAGGACGATGGCTAATTACACTGAACAAACAGCAGAGACGAAGTGACCTTGATCGCTTTTGGCTAGAGACACTGCTGTGCCTTATTGGAGAATCTTTTGATGACTACAGTGGTGATGTATGTGGAGCCTTTGTTAATGTTCGAGCTAAGGGTGATAAGATAGCACTACGGACTACTGAATGTGAAAACAGAGATGCTGCTACACATATAGGGAGGGTATACAAGGAAAGGTTAGGACTTCCTCCAAAGGTAGTGATTGGTTATCAGTCCCATGCAGACACAGCTACTAAGAGGGGCTCCACCACTAAAAATAGGTTTGTTGTTTAAGAAGATACCTTCTGGGTATTCTCATAGGAGACTGCGTCAAGCAATCGAGATTTGGGAGCTGAACCAAAGCCTCTTCAAAAGCAGAGTGGACTGCATTTAAATTTGATTTCCATCTAAATGTTGTAAAGATATAAGAGAAGTCTCATTCACCTTTGTCTTGTACTTCTGTGTTCATCTTTTTTTTTTTTTTTTGGCTAGAATGTCCACTTACCCAATCAAAGAATTACAGTACACATCATCCCCAGAATCCATTAATGTGTTTCTGGCCCACTCTGTAATAGCTTAGAAGAATTATTATTACAAACATATTTTACCCATCCACAATGTTAAAAAAGAACTTGCAATTCTATACCTTACAGGAAAAGAATTCTGTTTATGTTCCATTGGATGCAGGAGCATATTTTGCTGGTTTGAAAGAGTATGATGCATACAGTTTTCTAGCAATTTTCTTTGTTTCTTTTTACAGCATTGTCTTGGCTGTGCTCTTGCTGGTGGCTGCTAGGTTTTAATTTATTTGTTTCCCTTGAAGACATTAGTGATTCTGATTTCACTTTTTCATTTGTTTTGCTTTTGTTTTTTCCTCATGTAATATTGGTGAAGGATCCAGGAATATGACACAAAGGTGGAATAAGCATTAATTTTGGGCATTCTTTGGTAATTTTTTTTGTAACTACAAAGCTTTGCTACAAATTTATGCATTTCATTCAAATCAGTGATCTATGTTTGTGTGATTTCCTAAACATAATTGTGGATTATAAAAAAATGTAACATCACCCTGGCTGGTTTGGCTCACTGGATAGAGCGTCGGCCTGGGGACTGAAGGGTCCCAGGTTCGATTCCGGTCAAGGGCATGTACCTTGGTTGCAGGCACATCCCCAGTAGGGGGTGTGCAGGAGACAGCTGATCGATGTTTCTAACTCTCTATCCCTCTCTCTTCCTCTCTGTAAAAAATCAATAAAATATATTTTTAAAAAAAGAAAATTACAACTTAAAAAAAAAGTAACATCATAATTACATTCCTAATTAGAATTAGTATGTCTGTTTTTGTATCTTTATGCTGTATTTTAACACTTTGTATTAGGTTATTTTGCTTTGGTTAAAAAATGGCTCAAGTAGAAAAGCGGTCCCATTCATATTAAGACAGTGTACAAAACTGTAAATAAAATGTGTACAGTGAATTGTCTTTAAAGAGAGAGAGAGAGAGAGAGAGAGACTGCAGAAATCCCCTAGTCCAATTCTCTTACCAAAAAAAAAAAAATGTAGGGGAAATTGAGGCCCAAACAGATGACCTTAATGTAGATGGGAGGGCAAATTGATACAACGTCTTTGGAGACCAATGGGAATTATCTAGTAAAATTGAAGAGTCACATACACTAAGACCCTGCAGGTCCACTCTTAGGTATGTACCTTGGAGCATCTCATATACGCATGTGCCCGGAGACACGTGTGCAATTACCCAAAAACTGGATGGAGCCCAGATGTCCTTCAACAGTTGAATAGATGGGTTGTGGTATACTGGCAAAATGAAAAATGTGACAGACGTAGGAAAATGAATGACTTGCAGCTACACACAAAACATAAATTCATCTCAAAAACATGATGTTGAACAAAAGAAAGTGGGCCATGCCCTAACCAGTTTGGCTCAGTGGATAGAGCATCAGCCTGCGGACTGAAAGGTCCCAGGTTCGATTCCGGTCAAGGGCATGTACCTTGGTTGCGGGCACATCCCCAGTAGGGAGTGTGCAGGAGGCAGCTGATCGATGTTTCTCTCTCATCAATGTTTCTAATTCTCTATCCCTCTCCCTTCCTGTCTGTAAAAAATCAATAAAATATATTTTAAAAAAAGGAAAGTGGGCCATAAAAGAACAAATATAGTACAATTCCCTTTACATAATTAAAACAAGCAAACCTAAATCGTTTTTTAAAACTACAAGAAAAGCAAGGAAATGATTATCACAAAGAACTGGACAGTGGTTCTCTCATTCAAATACATACTTACTGAGTTCCTGCAACGTGCCAGGTACTATTCTGGGCACTGGAGCAACAATGGTGAATGAAGGAAGCAAAAGTGCTTACCCTTGTATAGTTTATGTTTTATCATGGGAAACAGTAACAAGCAATCCATAAAATACGTAAAGAAGTTATTTAGTATATTAAGGAGTGGTGTTATGGAAAAAGAAAAACAAGAGAGTAGGGCATCGGGAATTCCCAAATCGAGGTGGAGGGCAAGTGGGTTGCAGTATTACAGAGAGTGGTGGGGGTAAGCCTCATTGCAAAGGAGAGATTTGAGCAAATCAAGAAGGAAGGGAGAGAGTCAGTTAAGTGGCGGGGAGGGAGCATTCCAGGCCCATTATGGGCCATTTGGGGCCAAGAGAACACCCAGAGCAAAGGCCCTAGAAAAGGAGCAAGCCTGCTGTTTTTCTCTTCAAGGAACAATAGGAGGCCAGGTGGCTGGAGCGCCGATGATGGAGAGAGCAGCTTTTATTCTGAGCGAAATGGACCACTGCAAGGTTCTGAACAGAACTGACTGGCATTTCAAAGGAATATTCTGCCTGCTCTGTTGGGAAGGAAGGGGGTGAGGGAGGAACAAAGAGACACAGTTTGAAGGATATCGTAGTAATTCAAGAGAGAGATGACGGGGGCTCAGACCAGGGTGGTAATCCAGAGGGTGGTGGTTACCTGGGGAGGCTGCGGCGGTGCAGGGATGGGGCTGTGATTTGGGAGGGGCAAGGGAGAGAGAGTGAGAGACAGAAACATCAATGATGAGAGAGAATCATTGATCAGCTGCCTCTTGCACGCCCGACACTGGGGATTGAGCCCACAACCCAGGCATGTGCCCTGACAGGGAGTCAAACCATGACCTCCATGGTTCATAGGTCGACATTCGACCACTGAGCTTCACAGGCCAGACTAGAATAAATCTTGAAAACAGAGTGTAAGCTCTCTTGGTCCTTTTTCAAAATTGCTTTGGCTATTCTAGGTCCTTTGCATTCCCACATAAATTTTAGAATCAGCTTGTCAATTACTAAAAAAAAATGTCTGCTGGGATTTTGATTGGGATTGTGTTGAATCTATAGATTTCCTCTTTGCAGGAGGTTGTTTTTTTTCCAAATAGCTGCTGATTACTTCAGCAGTGTGTTTAACTCATATATGTGCACATCTTAACAACCTAGGACAGGACGATTTTTTTTAATTTCTTTTTTTTTTTTAAAGAGTGGAGGGAGGGGTAGAGACAGAGAGAGAAACATCTGTGTGAGAGAGACACATCGATTGGTTGCCTCCCACACGAGCCCAAATAGGGCCAGGGGTTGGATTGAGCCTGCAACGAGAAACGTGCCTTTGACTGGAACTGAACCCAGGACCCTTCAGTCCACAGGCTAACACTCTATCCACTGAGCCAAACTGGCTAGGGCAAACAGGATGATTTTCACTCCAGTCCATGGGGTTGCTGCTCCTTACACACGTTGTGAACTTAAGTCTGGGCTTTTCTCACCTCCTTCTCTACTTAGGTGTCGCTGGCGCCATCCTACTCACCCTCAACTCAGTTATGCTGGCATTTTCTTCTTAATCCCCCATGAAGCTGTCTCTGACCCATACCAAACCCTAAATCAGCGGTTCTCAACCTGTGGGTCGCGACCCCTTTGGAGGTCGAACGACCCTTTCACAGGGGTCGCCTAAGACCATCCTGCATATCAGATATTTATATTATGATTCATAACAGTAGCAACATTACAGTTATGAAGTAGCAATGAAAATAATTTTATGGTTGGGTCACAACATGAGGAACTGTATTTAAAGGGCCAGAAGGTTGAGAACCACTGCCCTAAATGAATCATTCACTCACCTGGGCTTCACACCACTCTGTCCTCATATAGGCGCACAGAACTTTGAATAATTTCATGTCACTTTAAGAAGTCATTATTGTCTATGCATCTCTCTCCCTAATTAGACAGAATTCTTCCAGGGGAGGAAGCAAGTTATTTGTTATTATCTTGGTGTTAAAGTCATTCTTCTTTGAATTGAACCTTTTATTTTGAGATATTGTAAATTCATATGCAGTTGTAAGAAATAATGCAAAGAGATCCCATCCCCCTTTACCTGGTTCCCCCAAAGTTAACACCTTGAAAAACTTTAGTACAATAACCACCGGAAGTTGGCACTGACCCCACCCACTGAGCTTATTCAGATTTCCCAAGTGTCACATGTCCTCATTGTGTGTACATGTGTGTGTAGTTAAGGATTTTTTTAAAAAATATATATCTTTATTGATTTCAGAGAGGGAGAGGGAAAGAGAGATAGAAATATCAATGATGAGAGAGAATCATTGATTGGCTGCCTCCTGTACATCCCCCACTGGGGATAAAGCCCACAACTCAGGCATGTGCTCTTGGCTGGAATCGAACCTGGGACCCTTCAGTCCGCAGGCCGACGCTCTATCCACTGAGCCAAACCGGTTAGGGCACTATTTGCACTTTAACAATTATTTATTTAGGTTCTACTATGTGCCAGACAGTTGAATTCTGGAAATACAAGTTTGACATAAGATCCCTGCCTTTGTACAATCTGTAGTTAGCACCTCAGAACTGGAGTCAGTGCCTGGAGTTGAATCCTTCCTCTGACACTTGCTAGTTCAATTATCTTGGACATGTTATCAGCTTTATCAGCCCTGGCTGGTTTGGCTCAGTGGATAGAGGGTTGGCCTGTGGACTGAAAGGTCCCAGGGTTCAATTCCGGTCAAGGGCACATGCCCAGGTTGTGGGCTCAAACCCCAGTAGGGGCCATGCAGGAGGCAGCTGATCAATGGGTCTTTCTCATCATTGATGTTTCTATCTCTCTTTCCCTCTCCCTTCCGACCTTCTTTATCAGTTTCCTTATCTCAAACAGTAACAGTACTTCCCCCATAGGCTTATACTGTGCTTAGCAGGATGTCTGGTGTCCTAAAACAACACGCAATCCCCTTAGGGTGGGAGGAGCAATCTATACTAAGGTTATGAATGATATTGTAATTTACTGACCACCTTCCACAAGCAACTGTATGCCAGAGACTTCACTTCTGCACGCAGCCTTGGGATAGATGATAGGTCACAAACTCCTTGGCATTGGGAGTTGACCTTTCAAAATAATCTAGTCCAGACCAGGGTGTCTGTTGGAACCTAGTCCACTTGGGGGAGGGGGGAGGAGGGCGTGGAGGGAGAATATCAGGAAAGGCATTGACCCAAGCCTGCCACTAGCAGGGGTTCAAGACATGTGTTAAATCGAAGGTTGAACCCAACGTTATTTTCCACCCTGTCTCGGGCAGACCCTCTCATCTGGAAGGTTGGACTATCTTCCCGTTCATGAGGCAGCAGGAAAGGGAAAGGTGCAGACCCCTTACCTGCAGCCGCAGGTTACGCAGTTGGGGAATGGAGCCCGCCTGCCCGAGGATTACCGCGACTCCGAGCTCCTCCCCGACGGCGCCCTCCCGGTGCACACGGCCTCGCCCCGAGTCCGATCCCTATTTAGAATCCTGCCGCGATCCTCTCCCTAGTTTTCTGGCTACAAATTCTGGACACGATTCAACCGCGGAGAGAACCGGTGGAGCGTGCCACAGAGATCACGCGAGCGGGGCCGCCGTGCACGCACCGGACACGCGGCGGCCACACCTCCAGCCTGTGCGCAGCGGCCCGGGCGCGGCGCCCTCCGGCCGGGGCGGTCCCGGGGCTGAGGCCCCGCAGGAGCAGGGGGAGGGACCGGAAGTAGGTCTCTGTATCCCGGTTGCTAAGAGACGGGGTTTCCACAAGCCAAACAGAGGTTCTACGCCTTCTTTTCTCCCTTTCTCGGGTTCAGCTTTGCCGAATTCAGAATTCGGTCATCATGTCGGACCAAGAAATTGACATCTTGCGAAGCACCTTTCCCTCCTACATGGCTGAGGGCGAGCGGCTCTATCTCTGCGGGGAGTTCTCTAAAGCTGCCCTCAGCTTCAGCAACGTGAGTCGCGCTCTGACCCTATCCATCGCCCATCACCGCTCGGGATTCCCGACGGTGCCTGGATAACACTGTCGTTCTGGTGGATGCACCACAGTGACAGATAAGCCCCTGCTAAGCCGTTTTCCACCAATTCCCACCTGTGTTCCACCTGATTCTCATTCTCAATAACTATTCTGACCCCTTCTACTTTTAAAAAAATAATATTTGTATTGATTTCAGAGGGGAAGGGGAGAGAGAGAGAGAGAGAGAGAGGGAGAGAGAAACATCAATGATGAGAGAGAATCACTGATTGGCTGCCTCCAGCACGTCCCCTATTGAGGATTGAGCCCATAACCCCAGGCATGTGCCCTGACCAGGAATCAAACCGTGACCTCCTGATTCATAGGTTGATGCTCAACCACTGAGCCATGCCAGCCAGGCTTCTACTTTTTAAATCAAATGTTTCGTGATTGATTGGCCTCCCTCTACAGAGCAGGCCCAATTCCCCATCACTAGTGGGGTGATTGGCTGGGAGACTTCTTGCAGAAGTGAAGTCTCAGTTGCTTATGGAAGGTGGTCAGTAAATAACTAACAGTATCATACATAACCTTAGCATAGAGTGCTCCACCGCACCCGTAGGGGATTCAGTGCTGTTTTAGGCTAGCAGGCATCCTGATTTGGGCTGCCATTACCAATCCGGCTTCTACCTTGCCCTGCCTGGTACCTGTCAGCCTGTGTGGTTCCTTTCTCAGGCTCTTCACCTTCAGGATGGAGACAAGAACTGCCTGGTTGCCCGCTCCAAGTGCTACCTGAAGATGGGAGAGTTAGAGAAATCCCTGAAGGATGCTGAGGATTCACTCCAGGGTGACCCGACTTTCTGCAAGGTGACTGTAGGGGTGGGGAACTCCAACTTGCTTTCACCACTGCCATTGTCTGCAGCGCCCTCTGGCTAGAAGTGGTAGGAGAACCAGCCAGACTGCCTAGAGCAGTGATGGCGAACCTTTTGAGCTCGGCGTGTCAGCGTTTTGAAAAACCCTAACTTAACTCTGGTGCCGTGACACATATAGAAATTTTTTGATCTTTGCAACCATAGTAAAACAAAGACTTATATTTTTGATATTTATTTTATATATTTAAATGCCATTTAACAAAGAAAAATCAACCAAAAAAATGAGTTCGCGTGTCACCTCTGACACGCGTGTCATAGGTTCGCCATCACTGGCCTAGAGTCTGATGCCATTTTTCTCTTTCTTGATAGGTCACTTGTTTAGCTCCCTGCCTCGGTATCCCAACCTTGACCCCAGCCCAAGCCCCTCCTGTTCCACCACACCCGAATTCTGTGATGCCTTGTCTGTCCGCCTTGATTTGACTTCCTCTCATTTCAGGGCATTTTACAAAAGGCGGAGACCCTGTACACCATGGGAGACTTTGAGTTTGCCTTGGTGTTCTATCATCGAGGCTATAAGCTACGGCCTGATCGGGAATTCAAAGTTGGAATTCAGAAAGCCCAGGAAGCCATCAATAACTCAGTGGGAAGTGAGTGGCTGTGGGACCTGGGCCCTTCTCCAGGAAGTCCCTTAGAGTTCTTAGGTTTGGAGGAAGGCCTGAGGGCCTTAGGGGGTGACCACCAGGAGGCCTACAGGGAGTCCCATGCTTGGATTTGGCTGCTGCTGATTTTGTTGAAGATTAGGAACCGTTCCATGAACCGTTCACTGGGAGGACCAATCCCCGGTCCACTATACTGAGCACTGCAGTGTCTGGTTATCCTCAATGCCAGATAAGAAGGGCTGTTTCCCTCACGTCAGATGAATATGCCTGGTTTGGGCCTGGTATCGTAGGGTTGCATGGAGTCCCAAGTCTAGTCTTCCCTAGTCTCTGGCTTCTTCCCTTACCACCTGTGCACCAAGAGCTGGCCTGTGTTGGGGGAGGGGGAAGGAGAGTGAGAGCTTGCCAGTGTGAATGCCAGGGTGTGGAAATGCATGGCATGGGAATCCATTTGTTTGGGAATCTGGCTGCCATGGCCCTGGGCTAGCAGGGGCTGCCTAGCCTCCTACAAGAGTATTACACGAAACACCACGCACCATTTGCCTGCCAGGCTGGCTCAGAGCCAGCTTTGCCACAACATCCCCCACCCCCCTGCCCGAGGCAGCCATTTCCACATGAAAATATGGGACAGGTCATGCTGGGGGTCTGGTCGACCTGAGCCCCAGCTTCTGTCCTTGCAGCTCCTTCTTCAATTAAGCTGGAGAACAAAGGAGACCTCTCCTTCTTAAGCAAGCAGGCTGAGGTAAGGGCCCCGGTTCTGATGCTACAATCCTTCCAGGGAAGAGGCCACGCGTACCTGAGGCACACAAGTCTTAGTGGCCCTGTTGCCAGGGAACTAGCTCCTACCCGTCACAGGCAGCCATGGGAGCCTGCCCCAGCTCCACAGGGGCCCTGATCGTCCAGCTTTCCCTGGGGCAGAAACACTCCATGGGTTTTGGTCCCCTGGGAGGTCCCAGAGGAAGAGTTTGGGATCCCAGATTCTGGGCCCCTGGGTTCTCTGTGCGCCTTGCTGAGGCTCTGTCGGGTGCTGCTCTCTCTTCCCAGAGTATGAAAGCCCTGCAGAAGCCGCATCCCGTGAGGCAGGTCTCATACTACGCCAAGACAGAGTCCAAGCGGAGGGGCTCGGTCAAGAGCGAGAAGACAGTCCGCCAGCTGCTAGGCGAGCTCTATGTGGATAAGGAGTATCTGGAGAAGCTCCTCCTGGATGAAGGTCTCAGGCCCTTTGTTTGCAACAGGGAACGGGGCGAAGGGGATCTGGAGTGGATGCTGAATGCGCGAGGCAGAGGCAGAATCTATCCTATTAGCCAACCTGTTCCTATGGACAGGTTTTACGCTCATTTTACAGATGGGGAAACTGAGGCGCAGAAAGGTTAAGTCGCCTAAGGTCATGCCTAGGCCAGCAGCTGAAGAGCTTTCAGATTTGAATCCAGGAAGTTCAGTTTCAGAACCAGTGCTCTCGAGCACTGTGCTGCCCTGGGAGGGGGCTCCGAAGACTTGGGTTCCTCTACCACCGTGTCCCTGAAGGGGGTGTCCCCTTGGCCTTCAGTAAGGACAAAGGCCAAAGAATTCCAACAGGAGGTGCTAGGAGGGGAATCTGAGGACACTAATACTAGAATGTCCCACACCTCATCTGGTACAGCCCTTCCTTTTATTTATTTTTAAATGTATTTTTATTGATTTCAGAGAGGAAGGGAGAGGGAGAGAGAGAGAGATAGAAACATCAACGATGAGAAAGAATCGTTGACCGGCTGCCTCCTGCACACCTCCACTGGGGATCAAGCCCACCACCCAGGCATGTGCCCTGGCTGGGAATCGAGCCATGACCTCCTGGTTCATGGGTCGCCACTCAACCACTGAGCCATGCCGGCCGGGCCAACCCTTCCTTTTAGAGATAAGGAAAGAGGGACCCTGAATGGGGAGTAACTTGTTCAGGTTGACAAGCAAGTTAATGGTGGAGTTGCTGCGAGAGCCCAGCCTCCTCACCTCTGGTCCACCGATCTTCCAACCACGCTGTGCTGGCAGCGACAGGACATGGGACGGAGCCTTGAAATGAATGCCTCACTTAAACATGTGGGGTGGGAGTCTGGCCATTGGCTGATGAGCCTGCGCAGGGATCAGCCTTGAATCAATGGCTTTTCTCCAGAGCTGACTCCAAGGCCGCCCGCAGGGTCCTTGCAGGTCTGTCACAGGGCGGCGTCACCGTCACCATTGGCTCATCTCCAATGCTTCCCTCCCCAGAGGAGCTTCTGTGGAGGAAGCGGGGGGGGGGGGCCTGACTACTCCAATTGGCCTTGCAGCTCTGCCACCAGCTCTAACCTCTGCTCAGGTGGCGGGCAGGACCTGGGCACACCCCCCAGCTCCCAGCTGGCGCTGGCCCACTTCACACCTGGGGAGTCACGTGGTGCTGGCCACCTGGGCCAGGCTGTGCATTTAGATGGCCTCTGCTTGGAATGGGGGAGCCCGGAAGGCCGGGGGCTATCATCGGCCGCCCCTTCTGTTAGTTCCTCATGAAAGTATATCTTGCCATAAGGGGCCTATGCACTCAGCGCCATACCGTGGGAAAGCCGGCAAGGGAAGGGCTCTGGCCTCATCTGGGCCCAGATGGACCCCCTCTGCCACCCTGTGCTCTGGCTTTGCTCACTGTTTCTGCAACTCCAGGCAGAGCCCCCCACAGGGCCCTGAAGCAGGGACCCAGAGCCAAGAGGAGGCGACTCCCTTAGGTGCCTGTTCTGGTTGGTTCTCCTCACACCCTCCCCCTCAGACCTGATCAAAGGCACCATCAAGCACGGCCAGACCGTGGAGGACCTCATCATGACGGGCATCAACTACCTGGACTCCCGCAGTAACTTCTGGAGGCAACAAAAGCCCATCTACGCCAGGGAGCGTGACCGGAAGCTGATGCAAGAGAAATGGCTGCGGAACCGCAAACGCCGGCCCTCGCAGACGGCCCGATACATCCTCAAGAGCCTGGAGGACATTGACATGCGTGGGTGATGTTCTCAGAGGGACGGGGACTGTGTCAGGTGGGAAGGGAGCAACAGAGCAGCCTGCGCCCCTGGCCTCCGTGGGCTGTGGGTGGCGTGGGGGGGGTGGGGGGGAGGTGGGTTCTCCCCTCAGCCACCAAGATGTCCCGCCTCCACATCCCTCTGTCGCTTCCCAGTGCTGACCAGCGGCAGTGCAGAAGGGAGCCTCCAGAAAGCCGAGAAAGTGCTGAAGAAGGTGCTGGAATGGAACAAAGAAGAGGTGCCCAACAAGGATGAGCTGCTTGGGAACTTGTACAGCTGCATAGGGAATGCCCAGATCGAGCTGGGGCAGATGGTAGCAGCCCTGCAGAGCCACAGAAGAGACCTGGAGATCGCCAAGGAATAGTGAGTGCCTGGGGAGGCGGGAGACCAGGGGCCCAGGCCAGGGGCCCGTAGAGGAGCTGGGCTGGGCCTGTTGTAGCTGGGCCTCTTGCCAGGGCTGCTGGTGGCTGAACTCCCATCTCCTGCCCTGCTTGCCTGGGGGTGGGGGTGGGGGCGAGGGGGAAGAGCCCGCGGAGGGAGGAGCCACCTGCCCAGCACTGAGGGTCAGGGGCTGAAGGAGACTGTTGGCTTTTCGCCACAAAGGGGAGGGCACTGGCCCACAACTCGAAAAAGCTCCCAGTGGTCTGGCTCTTCGGGGTGTTTTCATTCGGACACCATGTCAGCATGCATGCCTCCACCCCAGGCATGCAGAGGCTGCTAGCACCGGGAACACAGCAAAGCCCAGACACAAGGGGAGTGAAAGGGGAGGTGTGAAAGGGGAGGGACATCGCTAACAAATCACCATGGTGACAAGTGTGAGGAAGGAAAGCCCAGGAACCTGTTAGGAGCCGTATATTTCAGGAGCACTTTAGGGGGCCTGTGGGGAGGCACCGAGGCACGTGGGAGGACGCTTGAGGCCGGAGAGCACAGGGTATTGCCAGGGGAAGAGTGGGCCAGAGGAGGCTGGACCAAGGGGGCAGGAATCAGAGCCAACCAGGGCCTCGCAGACCATGGGGCTGACCAAGTGCCCCGGCTCTGGAGTCCGGCCGACCCGAGCTTCGGAATTGTGTCTCCAGCTGTGGGACCTTGGACAAGGCACCTAACCTCTCTCAGCCTCAGGTGGACGTAGCAATAGCCCCACCTGAGAGGGTGGGAGGGAGGGCCGGGTGCGAGTGCACACGGAGACCTCAGGACACGGCTGTGGAGCCACAGTGACAGTAACCAGCTCTTCAGCTCTTCACACCTGGTGGCCCCTCAGGGGTACCATGGCTTTCGGGGCACCTGGTTTGAACCTTTGGCGTCATTGGTGACTTTCTCCTCCCACAGTTCTGAGTCCCTTTCCGCCTCTCGTCATCCTGTTTCTACGCACAGGTTGGCCCTCGGCTCTCCCTGCCTCCAGCTGCTCCCACACATCACCTCCAGCGACTCTGCTTCTCATCTCTCAACCCTCCTTCCCTTGCTGACAAACAGGCCTTGGTCCGTTGTTGGCCTCAGATAGAAACCAAATACCTTTGCTTGGTACTCAGGGCCCTCTGATGTCAGTCCTCCATGTGGGTCAAACTGGACTTCCGGAACATTCATTCCCCCTCCTGCCCTCTCCTCACGGGCGGGAGCCTGCAGGCCGTCCATTCCCAGTTCATTCTCACCTGCCTGCGCCGGGGAGCAGGATTTTCACAAAATTTTTTTTTTTTTTTTTTGGGGGGGGGGGGGGGGGCAGCTTTGGAGACATACCTGACTTTGACCCTGGCTCTGGCACTCAGAGGCTGTGTGGGTTTGATTAAGCTGCTCACTTCAGTTTCCTCATCTCTAGTGAAGGCCTAATAATACCAACTCACAGGGGTTGTGAGAATGAAATGATATGTATCGACAGTAAGGCATTTGGACCCAACCCTATCCCAGGCCCTAAAGAC